GGCGGCCCGCAGGCGCCCGCGGGCGGGGGCGGCGCCCCGGAGCCGCCCGCCAAGAGGCAGCGCGCGGAGGCGCCGCGCGGCTCGCCGTGGTTGCCGTCGTCGTCGCCGTGAGCCTCGCTCCTCGCTCATCGCTCATCGCTCCTCCTCCTCCTCCTCCTCCTTCTCCTCCTCCTCCTCCTCCTCCTCCTCCTCCTCTTCCTCCTCCTCTCCTCGTGAGCTCGAAGGAAAAAGGAAAACAAAGCAAAAAACGCTATAAACATTGACTTTTGGCGCTCCGCGCGGAGGGTTTCTTGGATCTGCGCTGGGCGCCCCGATCGCCGTCGTCACATCGTCGTCGTCGTCGGCGGCGTCGGCGTCGGCGTCGGCGTCGTCGCCGTCGTCGTGGGCGTCGCTCCGCCCGCCGCCGCCGCCGCCGTCGTGGCCGTTCGCCTGGCCGCGAGTGCCGCCCGCCGCTTGCCGCCGTCGTCGTCGCTCGGTCGTGGGCGTCGCTCGGTCGCGAGCGCCGCCGTCGTGGGCGTCGTCGCCGGCGTCGCTCGCCGCCCCCGCCCTCGCCGCCGCCGCCTCGGGCGGCGGCATCGCCGCCTCCGTCGGCGCCGTCGCCGCGGCCCATCGACGGCGTCGTCGTCGTCGGCATCGGTGAGGGAGGCGATCTCTGCTTCCGGACGTGTTGGCCCCCCGGGGGGGCTTCGCGCTTCGGCGGTGCCCGCGTCCGTCCGCACACGCTTCGCACCTCTGCGTCTTCAGGGCCCGTGTGCTCCGCTGCCGCGTTTCGTTCCGTAGCCAGAGGAGGGGGTATGGAGGGAGGAAGTGAGGATGGGAAAGGATAGGAGGAGGAGGAGGAGGAGGAGGAGGAGGAGGAGGAAGACGGCGGCGACGACGACGAGAATGACGACGAGGAAGACGAGAAGAACTAGGAGAACCAGGACGATGAGGAGGATGATAAGCAAAAAGAGGAGTAGGACGGAGGAGAAGGAGCAGGAGGAAAGTGTCGGGGGGGCATGGACAGGAAAACGATCCAGGATGAAGAAGCAGTTGCGTGAGAGGGGGCGACAGTTGTGGTAACCACGCCCTGCGAATTCACGGCGTCGGACCTCCTCTGCGGTTTCGCCGATGTAAAAGATGTGAGGACAGTGAGGACCGGAGTGAGGAATGCCGTAAAACATATGAGGAACGTAGGGACCGGGAAAAAAGAAAGAGGACGGGGGGGTATTATTTTCTCAGTTTTCCAGCAATTGTGGCCCAAGCAATTGTGGCCCAAGCTCGCCAGAACATGCGACGATGGTTGACCACCCGGCGGACGTCCGACAGTTCGACTGGTATTCGCACTACCGTCACACCGAATTTGCGCTGATCGCTGCCAAGTTCTCCGAGGGGTTCGCGTCGATTTGCATGGTTGGCATAAGGCCCCGCGTGCAGAACAGGTGCACATGCGCAGAGTACCCTGCCCTTCAACAGGACCTCGAAGATGCCTTCCGTCAGAAAAAGGCTCCTTTCTTCACCGCCGACGGCAAGGAGGAGTGCTCATTCGAGAAGATATTCTGGAAGCAGGTCGGCATTGCGGATCTTGAGGTCGAGCTCGCAGTAAGTAGCACGACGGGTAAGTGCGCAGTAGTGTGTTCTTGCCCCGACGAATTCATGGAAGAGGCGAAAGACGTCATCAAGAAACACAATCAGAAGGATAATCTCCACAAGGTCGCCATGTCCTGGGCAACGTCGAAAGACGTCTACAAGGGCGGCGCTGCGCTGGATCCCGCCCAGACTCCGGTTGCCGCCGCGGAGAGGTACCTGCTGGCGGAGGAGGCGGAGGGGCAGGCGAGCGAGGACAACGTCGAGAACCTGAAGGATGCCAAGAAGAAGGCGCTGCAGATCGACCCCACGGACGCGCCCGCCTGGTTCAACCTGGGCAACGCCGGCGGCGGGACGGTCTCGGGCCGCGCCCACAGCAAGAAGGACTGCTACGAGAAGGCGCTGCAGATCGACCCCGAGCACAAGCTCGCCTGGTATAGCCTGGGCGTCGCCGGCGGCGGGACGGTCTCGGGCCGCGCCCACAGCGAGAAGAACTGCTACGAGAAGGCGCTGCAGATCGACCCCGAGTACGCCTACGCCTGGAATAACCTGGGCATCGCCGGCGGCGGGACGGTCTCGGGCTGCGCCCACAGCCCGAAGAACTGCTACGAGAAGTCGCTGCAGATCGACCCCGAGAACGCGCCCGCCTGGTATAACCTGGGCAACGCCGGCGGCGGGACGGTCTCGGGCTGCGCCCACAGCAAGAAGGACTGCTACGAGAAGGCGCTGCAGATCGACCCCACGTACGCCCACGCCTGCCTGCTGATGTAGCTCTCTTCGAAGGCCTGGCACGCGCAGGCCTGCCGCCGCGAGCGGGCCGGCCGCCCGCGGAGGCCGCGCACCCGGGGCGTTCCGCGGTGCGCCCGACGCGCGTGGCCGCATAGCTTGCTCGCCTCAAAAAAACAGGTTCTCAGTCTTCACGGTCCTCACATGTTTCACGGCAGTCCTCACTTCGGTCTTCACTGTTCTCAGGCCTTGGCGGGTTTCCGGATTGAGCAGGCCAGATTCTTTTATCTTGAAAACCCCTTAATCACCACGATCGAGCAGCCATGGCAGCTGGGCACTCCAAGGAGGAGACACCAGGGACCGTGGATGGACAAGTAAGTGGAACCCTTCACTCCGCCCCCCCTTTCCCCCAGATTCGAAGTTGGTCCGAGGCATTCGGCAGCACAGGCGTGAGAGGACAAGCGGAACCACAAGGGCCTCCGCTAGGTCCGACCCAACTTTGAATCTAGGGGGGTGGACGAAACTGGAATCGAACACGAAGGGATTCTACCTTCTTGCCCCCTTACCAGAGGTCTGGGCAGCAGGGGGGCAGAGGAGGTGGAGGTGCAGGGGGGGAGAGGGGGCGGGTGGAGGGGACGAGAAGAACCAGGAGAACGAGAACCAGGAGAACGAGGACCCAGGAAACCGCCTTCGGGGCTCCTGGGTCCCGAAAGGAACCCGGCCGCTGTCGCCGAAAAGCTCCCGCATTTCATTCTCGGGCCCCGCGCGGCCTTCTTGTCCCAGGCCAGGGTGGCAGAAAAGCAGTCTAAACCGAAGCGGTGCCATCTTTCCTCCGATTTGGGGAGCCGACGGGGAGGATCAGTCCAGACCGACGCGGTCTCATCCTCCCTCCGACTTTTGGGAGCCGACGGGGAGGATCAGTCCAAACCGAAGCGGTGTCATCCTCCCTCCGGTTTTGGGAGCCGATGGGGAGAATCAGTCCAAACCGATCCTCCCTCCGAATTTGGGGAGCCGACGAGGAGAATCAGTCCAAACCGAGGCGGTCTCAGCCTTCCTCCGACTTTGGGGAGCCGACGGGGAGGATCAGTCCACACCGAAGCGGTCTCATCCTCCCTCTCACTTTTGGGGAGCCGACGGGGAGGATCAGTCCACACCGAAGCGGCGTCATCCTCCCTCCGATTTTTGGGGAGCCGACGGGGAGGATCAGTCCAAACCGAAGCGGTGTTATCCTCCCTCCGACTTTTGGGAGCCGACGGGGAGGATCAGTCCAAACCGACGCGGCGTCATCCTCCCTCCCGACTTTGGGGGAGCCGACGGGGAGGATCAGTCCAAACCGAAGCGGTGTCAGCCTTCCTCCGACTTTGGGGAGCCGACGGGGAGGATCAGTCCACACCGAAGCGGCGTCATCCTCCCTCCGACTTCGGGGAGCCGACGGGGAGGATCAGTCCACACCGAAGCGGCGTCATCCTCCCTCCCGACTTTGGGGGAGCCGACGGGGAGGATCAGTCCACACCGACGCGGTCTCCTCCTCCCTCCCTCTCGACTTGGGGGGAGCCGGGACGGCGGCGGGGAGTTCCAGAAGGCCCCGCGGCGCACCTCCTCCTCCTCCTCCTCCTCCTCCTCCTCCTCCTCCTTCTCCTCCTCCTCCTCCTCCTACCTCCTCCTCCTCCTCCTCCTCCTCCTCCTCCTCCTCCTCCTCCTCCTCCCTCCTCATCCGCCTTCTCCTCCACCTCCTCGTCCTCCTCGTCCTCCTCCTTTTTTCCCCTCCTCTTCGTCGTCCCCCTTGCTGCTCATCCTCCTCGTCTTCCTGGTCCGCCTTTGCCTCGCCGATGTCATTATACTTTTCTTTGCGTTCCTCCTCGTCGACGACGACGAGCCCGGAAGGCCCCGCAGTGGCCCGCCGACGCTTCCCAGGAGGCGCAGGCCAGGGCGCTGCGGGAGGACCCTGCAGCGGCGGCCGCGGCGCCCCGCCGAGCCCCCTCGCCGCGGGCCCGCTGGGGGCCCAGGAGGCCCCAGGACGCCCTTTTGTGCAGAGGATGCCCCAGGACACCCTGGGTGCCCAGACCCCCTGGGGTCTTGAAGAAAAACATGACGGGAGGTTTTCCACAATTTTCGGCCTTCAGGGGCCCTCGCCGGGCCTCGGGGGCGTCAAAAAAGGACGCGGGATGAAAGACCCGTCCTGGGGAAGGGGTCTACGTTAGACCTCTTGGGGTCGACGTTGGGAAAAAAACACGACGTCGGGGGTCCGGGTAGGAGGCCCCAGGACACCCTGTGTAGGAAGCCCCTGGACGCCCTATGTTGGCATCGTCTCCCTCTTCCTCCTCCGTGATCTGGCTCTGGTGCACGTTTTTAATTACACGTTGCGAGTGGATTCAAGAGTGCTGGCCGATTCGTTTCCCTCAGCTTGTCCTCGCTGCTCTCCCACAGGATGCGCTGGACAAGAAGCCCCAGGATGGCACAGGAGGCCCCAGGAGTCTCCAGGTGGTCCGGGGAGGGCTCGGGAGGCCCCACGAGGCCGCAAGAGGGGCAGCCCGGGAGGGCGGGAAGTTTACGCGTGCAATCGTCAGAAATCGATAGCTACGGGAAGATGCGTGAAGCTACAACATCAAGCCGAGGGAAGAGGGTAAGGAAGAGGAGGGGAGAGGTGTAGGGGACCAGCGTAGGGGTGGGGGACGGGGAACAAGAGGGGGGGAGTCGAATCAGTGACGTGGGACTTCGGACCTCTCAACCCCATCCCGGGGACAGTTTGTGCTCATATTGGGTCAGCGTGCTGATGGCCTCGGGGTCCGAAACAAGCTTCCGGAGGCCCAAACTCAAGAAAACCAAATAGGGGGGGGGGCATGCGTCCTAAACAAGTTCAGCTCAAGCGAGTCATGTGTCTCAGGGCCAAGTCACGACGTTGAGCCAGGCCTCGGAAGAAATTAGCGAACACCCATGCCGCATCCATCTGCCAATGCCCCCCCAATGATCAATGTTGGCGTTGGGTTGAACGAGCTGCACTTCGACCGCGGTCTTCCCCGCGCGTGCCAACTTTGAGTTTGGCGGAGCGGGGGAGTGTCCACTAATTGTTTATCTCTATCGGGTGGTCAGCGTGCAGAAGATGTTGCATCTGCCAGTCGCATGGGAATGGCTGCCCCGCGCCCTTCTTGCGAAGGCCTCACGGCCCGCGCCGCTGACCCTGAAGGACGACGACGACGACGGCGACGACGACGGCGACGGCGACGGCGACGACGACGGCGACGGCGACGGCGACGGCGGCGGCGACGGCGGCGGCGGCGACGACGTTGACGACGGCGACGGCGACGGCGACGACGACGGCGCTTGCGGCTGCTCCGTGGCTATTTTAGCCTGCGTGGTGCAGCTGTCGTGTGCCGCGGTGGCGTGGCGGCCCCTCGGACCAAAGGGGGGGCGCCCGCGGCTCCCAGAAATGGAAGGCCCCTGGAGGCGGGAGCTGTGGCCCCGGGGGAGGCCGTGCGGGAGCCTGCCGCGGAAGACTCCCCTTGAGATCCCGGCGATGCAATTTTTTCGCAGCCGGCGTTCTCGCCCGGTCTCGGGCACACGGGGGCCCTCACAGATCGATCCGGCTCGAAAAATGCTGCAGAGAGATGGGGTCCGGGGCTCCGGTGGCGATGCTGCAATGTTTTGCAACGTCGGATCTCAGGGTCCGCAGAATTTCGGATGGGCATTGCGGGGACCTACTGGCATCTTCTTCACGGGCACCTTCTTCACGGGTGTGCCGCTGGGGCTGCTACTGATCATTTTTCAACGCTGCCGCTTGATGCGGTAAACTAACACGCGGCACCGCATATGTTTCCATATGTTGAGTAGCCATTTCTTTTAGTGGGTCTACTCCAGAGCTAGGGTGTCCCACCAACCAGTGTGTGCATTGCGGGGATATGGTGGCGGCGCTGCCATCTGGGCGACGAGGCAGCCAGCACGCTGCGCCACGCGGGCGCCGTGGCAGCTGGAGGCGGGAGATGTTGCCCAGGGCTCGCAAGGTGCGATGGGTGGCCTGGCGGATGTCTTTCGGGAGCCTGCGGTGGAAAATTCCGTTGGAATTTGGATGGGCGTTGCGGGTATGTTGGCGACGTTGCCATCTGGGCGACGAGACAGCCAGCACGCTACACCACGCACGCGCCGTGGCAGCTACAGGGTTGGGCGCGGAAGCGCGATCTTCGCGCAGCGCATCAGCAAAAGAACGGGCATGAGTTCATCAGTGGAGTCGGCGTTTGCCTCCTGGGGGGGCTCCTGGAGTTCTCTTGCGGCGGAGATGGGTCACGTGATCCCAAATAGTTTCGTTTTTGCTTGAAAACGTGGCAAACATCAATCTGCGCTTCGATCACATTATCGCGCATTTGGGCCGAATCTCGGCTGCGTTGGCGAAACTCCAGGATCATGCAAACACTCTGATCGACGACATCTGACGTGGAACATCTTATTCGAATGCCCCTCGTAGCAGATACAACAATTACATGTACCAACTAACTGATACACATAACCTCGCAGAGCCCTTTATCATTTGCTCGGAGAGTGGGACAACAACATGGTACGGCTGGGATGCGGATCGCCACCTCCGCACACCAAGAAATATCAGAACAGGACACAGTGTTCTACGCCCCTGGCGGTTGCTTGGTAGGCTCCCCAGAGGAGCTAGAACCTACCCGCACGCAAAGCAGGTTCTAGTGAAGATCTGTGCCTGAGTGCTGGAGGTCTGGGGCCCGAGGCCCGGACACCCTCCCAAGTTCCACCAAATTCCAGGGCACGGGAATTTTTGACCCCCTCAGGGGCCTGCACGGGCATTCCCAGAGGATTCCAAGAGGCAGCAAGAGAGCCCAAGTGTCGCCAAACTCTGTGTCGTAGCCATTTTGGCTCAAGAGGTTTTGATTCAGGCCAAGATTTCAAGTCGATGCCTGAGTCCTGGTATCCTGGTGGCGGCGTGCGACTTGAATGTACACGCACGCATGGAAGAGTTGTTTACGAGATTGCTCCGCTTTTTCCAGGTGCTGGACGGCTGTGTCCAGAGGTTATTCTGCAGGTTTGCGAGATGGCATTCCTCTGGTGAGTTCGCATGGCCGCGTTAAAAGCACGTACAACGTGATCCATTGGGGAAGTCTCACTCGGGCTGGGTACCGTGTCACCAGTATTGGCGGACAGACTATGCGTGTTCATCGTTTGGTTGCATATGCGTTTCTTGGGCAACAACCTAGCATGTCGCATTGCGAGGTCAACCACAAAGACGGGAACCGGCAGAACAACCATGTCAGCAATCTGGAGTTCGCAACTCGTTCTCAAAATGTGAAGCATTCTTTCGACACCAATCCTAAAAAGAGAACTGCCGCAGAGACGTTTTCAAAGCCAGTTATTGGTAGATTGCATGGGACTCACACGTGGACATTGTATCCATCCATGTCAGAAGCGTCTCGGGAGCTGAATGTGCATCTGTCCTCAGTATGTTTATGTTGTCAGAAAACTTTCAAACAGATTAGCGGTTACGAGTTTCAATACGCATATCTTGAAGCAGATGAGATATTGCCAGGTGAAGTGTGGCACATGGCCCGAGAGCCAGTCACAGGAGTCTTGTTGCCGCCTTGGATGGTGAGCTCGTACGGTCGGGTACAGTCTTCCCGGACTCGGAGTTGGGAAAGTGATACGGGCGCAGGGTACAGGAAAGTACGCATTCGTCTTGATGGCAAGCACCGCGACATGTTCGTGCACAGGATAGTTGCGCGAACGTCCTTAGGGGCCCCGCCTTCTCCAGAGCAAGCATACGTGAACCACAAAGATGGGAATGGTTGCAACAATTGCGTAAGCAATTTGGAGTACGTTACCCGATCAGAAAATCTACAGCACGCGTACGCACAAGGTCGATCACGAGTTCAAGCAGCGTTGTGCAAGCCTCTGTTTGCATCCCATCGAACAGGAGATGATTGGAGCTACTTCCCGTCGATTGCAGCAGCAGTCAAGGAGTTGAGCATCAGCCAAGCCTGTATATCGAAGGCTCTGCGTGGCACAGTGCGCGAGCATCTGAATTACAGGTTCCGGTCGGCACCCCGAGAAGATGTGCCCATCCTTCCTGGTGAAGAGTGGCGGAAATTCAAGTTTGCATAAGTGTTGCACGTAACAGGAAGGTGATACGACTTAACAGTGCTTGCGCCTACAGAAGGTGTCCGCCAATACGTCCCAATGGAATTCCTGGACGACACCAAGCAAGCCCAAGAGGGCCCAATAGGCTAATAGATGGCCCCGAGACTGCCGTGAGAGATCACAAGAGGACCCTCAGACCAAACCAACGCAAGCCTTCATTTGGGGCGTTCCAAAATGGGCCTTGCCTTCGAGGACCGAAGGAGACGTCATCTCTTCCGCGGCGGAAGGTCGGCGGAAGGTGGCGGAAGTAAAACGAGGCCGCCTCCGCCGGCGGAAGCTCGGCGGATGGCGGCGGAAATAAGAGATGTCCCCCCAAGAGATGGAAACAAATTTGGGTTCAGGGTTTCCGAAATCGCCCTAGCAATGATGGCCCCATAGGGCTCTCGAGTAGCCAAGGAAGGACCCAAAAGAGGATCCCAAGACTGCCAAGGACTGCTCGCAGAGGACGCCCCGAGAGAGCCGAGCACATCCTGCGCGAGAGCCCAAGTACAGCGCCAGAGAAAGCCCTGTAGCTCGGCGCACGATTGGCCCAAGAGGGCCCACGCGCGCCCAGGCGTGCCCCAAGACGGCCCTCATAGGGTCCACCGTAAGCCCAAAATAGTACCAAAACAGTGGAAACCCATGCCAAGAAACACTCTGCTTGTCTCCAAGGTGCCCTGGGTTTCTTGAAGTTCGCTGGTGTTGCTATGGAAAGCGTGACGTTCCCACACCACTATATATATATACATATGAATATATATATATATATATATATATATATATGTGTATATGTACATATACACATATATGGACGTCCTGGGGTCTCAGGGTTGGGCTTCCTGTGGAAGGTGTGTAGTGGACTGACCTCCACTGAATTGCTTGAGGGCCTCAAGAGGACCCTGGCACGGGCCCGCAGGGCCCGAAGGCAGCCCGGCAATGGCCGCACCGAAGGCCCCACCATGGAGGACGAGGAGCACCCACATCATCGTTGCTCCTCCATCTTCTCCTAAAGTATCCCTCTCCACTTCCTCGTCATCTTCCTATCGCCTCCACACTCGCTCGCCCGCTTGCCAGCTGGGGTGCGTGGGGCACACGCCGTCTCGAACGCGCCACAGCCTTATCATCATCATCATCATCATCATCATCAGCAGCTGCAGCAGCAGCATCAGCATCAGCATCGGCATCAGCATCATCATCGTCATCAGCATCATCATCATCAGCAGCACCATCAGCAGCATCAGCATCATGATCATCATCGTCATCATCATCATCATCCCTCCCTCGGCCTCTCCCTCCTCGTCACTCATTCCTCCGCCCTACCGCCTCATCTCCTCCCTGTTCCCTGCTTGCGCCTCGCCACCCCAAAGCGGGGGCGTGCAAGGAGAAAAGAGGGCATCAATGAAGCATACGATATCCGCGCGCATGTACATTTGCACCTAGTTGCACACCCCTCGCCCCCTGACAATAACACGGGCACTAGTCTTAATGGCGTTTGCAGCAACGCAAGCGTTGGCTTCAACCCCGAGGGTTCCCGTAGATTTTGGCGCCGTCCCTCTTCCGCGCTATACGCTAGGCTAGGGGACGG